ATATTCTAATGTGGCATTGGAATATACCAGAGGGTACCCCTTCTAGTAGGATTAGTACTTATTCTGAATTTATTATTATTAGTAGTAGTTTTTTACTTGAATGCCTAAAGTAGTACAGCGGTATATCTGCGGACTTACAAAGCTAGAAACCGGGGTTGAAAGATAGTTCCCAAACGTTGTTTTAATCATCCCGAAACGATCATTTTCAATAAACACTTGAAAGATAGTTCCCAACCCTTGTTTCAATCATCTCGAAACGACCATCTTCTATAAGCACTTGAAAGATAGTTCCCAACCCTTGTTTCAATCATCTCGAAACGACCATCTTCAATAAACACGTGAAAGATAGTTCCCAACCCTTATTTCAATCATCTCGAAACGACCATCTTCAATAAACACGTGAAAGATAGTTCCCAACCCTTATTTCAATCATCTCAAAACGACCATCTTCAATGAACACTTGATAGATAGTTCCCATCCCTTACGAGCTACGAAATTCCACGTTTCTTCTTTTCTTTTATCGTTGCTATTAATCTCACAGACGACTATTTATCGTCCTCGTGGTTAGGGCGCTCAACTAGTAGCCTGCGGGTTTTGAGTTCGAATTCCATTACCGAATATGTTGGCTCTTTCAACAGTGTGGTGTTATATATGACGATCAATCCCACTCTTCGTTGATAAAAGAGTAGCTCAGGAGTTGCGGTTGATGGATGATGTTGGCTAACTAACTGCCTTGCCTCTAGTCTATCACTTCTAAATTAGGGACGACTAGCCCTCGAATACTTTTACACGAAATTCCGAAAACAAACTTCTAATTACCAAATAAAACAAGGTTATTTTTAACTAGCAGAATCGTCACCCTACGGGCGGCTGTTTGTGCTAGTAATACCTTAACCTTAAAAACTGTGATGGCAAGGGCCGACATGTTGGGAGTGATATTGATGCTCTGAAGACGCTTGTTAAGTTTAACCCAACGAAACACAATCGTAAAATAGCCATGGATTTGCATGTCTCTCATAAAACAATACGTAAACATTTAAGGAATGCTGGAAAACTCCATAAAGAAAGTGTTTGGGTGCCTCACGAACGCTCCGATGATCATCGTTTCCAATGTGTGAACGTTGCTTCGTCTCTTCTGGCGGTTAATGCGCGTGAACCATTTTTGGACGGAATTGTCACCGCTGATGAAAAATGGATTTTCTATGTAAAAAGTAAAGGACAAAAACAATGGCTCAGTCCCAGACAAAAAAACCCTTCCGAACCCAAATCCTGAATTACATCCGCAGAAAGTAATGTTTTGCATTT